AAACAAAGGTGATGCTTGCAGAATTCAGATTTCTGAGGCAGCTCAGAGTTTTGAGCTATCATTCTATAATTGAAGCAAAAATCTACATAAACAAAATTTGGAACTTTGCATAGTGAGGTCTAAACCAAACAGCTAGTTTAGAGGAGAAAATATAGATAATGATTTTTCTGAAAGGCTTTCTTTACTCCTGATTTCCTAAAACAATTTTACTAACAGTTTAAGTGAAGTAAATAACAATTTACTTTATATACATATTCTGTGAAATAATAGTTTGTGATTTTGTGAGTGTATGATACCATAGCTTATTATTCTGAGAATTTGTTTATATTTGGTTTCATAATAATGCAGTATGTTGAAATAAAAAAAAATTCAGATGGTCCCTAAATATAAAAGACTATATATTAATAGTTTCTTTCTTTCTCTTCCTTCCTTCCTTCCTTCCTTCCTTCCTTTCTTTCTTTCTTTCTTTCTTTCTTTCTTTCTTTCTTTCTTTCTTTCTTTCTTTCTTTCTTTCTTTCTAAACTATGTATACTCTGTTGTAGCACCATGCTCAGAAGATACAGCTAATTTTCCAAAATAAAAAAAATGGAGTAAATAACTGCAGGGTTCTTCAAGCTTTGAAACATTCCAATTCTCCTAATTATGTGACAGATGTGTAGGTCTGTGTTGGCCAAAGTGTACTTAGGGGATGAATTCATTGAGTGGGTCATGATCATGTCAATTATTTTAATGGAAAAATTTAAAAAACAGAAATATCCAAAATAATCATAGCACATTAAAAATATCAAAACTAATTTCACTTCATGAAACTTGGCATAAGTAGAAACTGTGTGGGTGTCACAAGATGCTTTCTTACTATGCTTTGACCCAATTCATTTGAAACACACTAATCATTGTGTCCATCTAACCTACAGCAATGAATATGAAAGGCAAAATTAAAAGATTCCCCATAGAGAACAGATGTTACCCTATAGGCCGATTTTTATAGAAGATTTCCCATGTTCCACCATTTTTTACTGTTGCACACATATGCATCCACACATCAATGGAAACTATGTTTAGTTTTAAGAAACATAGTGCACAGATTTTCTAAAATTGACTTTGTAACTTAGAAAATATTTCCATTGAAAGGTAACTCAACCTATAAATTGGACATCACCTAGCTTCCATAAATTTATATATTGAGTGTTTTGCCAAGGACTGCCAAGAATGCAAAGAGTCATCATGACTTGGAGGAAAGGTGCAAAGAGAATGTGAGCTATATAGATTATCCTCTTAGCAGGAAGATTTGCTTTAGATCAGTACTCAAGGACTATGTTGTAAAAGACAGAACAAAGGGAGTTTGAATCAACTGATCTCCTACACCTGAACACAAAATTTATTAATGATTATTAGAAAGAAGTTACAAGTATTTAACAACTATATCTGAGAAACTTTGAAGTGACTTTCAGTGCCATGCTCTTTATGCACCCAACAAAATGCTACTGATCAGTATTTATCTCTTATAGATTTTGTGTGTGTGTGTTTAAAGAAAAATGTTTGTAACAAGGTATTCTGAAAATGAAGCACAATGAATTGATGTTGTTAGATTCTCACGCTCGTAAGAGTAAAGGTAATGCTATACATATATTTTTCCTTTATTGAACCAAACAACATTTTTTGATTCCCTTCTCAGTGTTACTGCAAATAGTCAATGATTTGCATACTTAATTGAATTTGGTAAGACGTTGATGAAACTGTGTCTTCTGAAATAAGGCTCACCATTTTAAGTTTTAAAATGATTTTCTTTTAGATTTTGAATGTGTTTATGTGAACATATGTGTTATTGTGTGTGAGACTGTATGTGAATGCTCACATTCATGCATATGCACTTGGAGGCCAAAAGCCACTGTCAGGTGTCTTCTTTGACTATTCTCCATCTAATATTTTGGAAAAAAAATGTCACTACAATAGAAGTTTGTAAATTTTGCCACAATGTTTGACCAGCAAGTACTAGGAACAATTCATCTTGTTCTGTCTCTTAAAACTCAATAAAAACACAGCCATCGAACCTGCTTTTTTATGTGGACATGGAATCTACACTTAGTTCTTCCTGCTTTCATGTTAGATAGTTCACCAGTGGAGACATTAGCTGGATGAAATGGTTTTTTGATGGACATTTTTTGTTACTGACACTGGATTTTTTAAAATACATATAATCGTAACGTGACTTTCATTTTAAGTACATATATAGGGGAATAGAAATTTGAAACAGTCCTTGGAACTAAAAGTAAGACTTTAAAATATTCAGATTTCATATCAGTTTCATTAAGTTAGACATTTTTCTTTACTAAATTGATAACTATTCTACAGTCCATTTCTATATCTTTATAATAATCTATTATATAATATATAATATATAATATCTTAATAATCTATTAAGGTCAATTAGCTGCATTTACAATAACATTAATTATTGGTTTATGGATGCATATTTACACAGTTTTTTAGTTTGATTTCTTCATTTAATCTTCACTTTTTAACACTGTTTAAGTTAGATAAGAACATCTTGGAGACATAAATTAAATAATTAGACTAAATCAAATGGACAAGTTTAATTATCACTGTGTTAAAATATTATTTTCATCACAATGGTTCAGTTACATGGAAACACATCAGCAAGCGGGTTTGCTTAAATAATGCCAGGAGGGAGGACTACATGCTAACACTTTTATGTGTTTAGCTATTAGAAAAGAGCCTTTAATCCTGAAAGTAGATTGCTTTTCAACTGTATAAATCATTTATGTATATTTGTTTTATCTTATTCTGGGTCTCTAGATATTTCCTGTTTACTCTGAATCTCCCCAGCTGAGCTTACCAGAGAAGAAAATGATAAAATTTGGTTGATTTATCATTTCAACTAACTTGAAGGAAAAATTAGAAAATAATAACGTAAAATCAGAATATAGGCAGGAGTGCCTTGGCATTTCAATCATCCCTTCATTTCAGCCCTTTAGAACAGTGAAGTGCTGAAGGCCATGGAGTTAGTCTTAACAGATGGACAGAGCCTATTGTATGAGGAGACAGGGCTCCTTCAGTTGATCTGATTGACAACTAGTACAATAAGTTAATGCTGGAATTATGGAAACTTCCTGGAACTTCTCTTTTTTTATTTTTTAATTTTTTAAAATTTTTCCCAATATGCCTTTAAACCATTTTAATTACATGTAAGTATTAAGGTCAGTTCTAGGTTGAGGGCCTAGCAACAAAATAGATGCAAATAGTTAAGGAACAAATAAGACAATAAACACAAACAGTCAAAGAACAAGCAAGGCAATAAACAAAGTCCCATGATCTAAGGGCTTCTCAGAATGACCAAAATATCTTAGTCTACTAGTCCCTGTCCTAGCCCAAAGTCATTTTCATGTCTGAAACCTACTTCTTTGTTCTAGCCTAAGATTTAGATTCCTGCCTGAAATTACTTCTTGGTTCTAGCCTAAGATGATGTTATAAAAGCTCAAGATAGGAACAGACTATGTGTGGCCTCAGCCCTAGAGGAGATTGAAGCCTAGATCTGGGTTGAAGACATGATATAAACCAAGTAATTTTGTGTGTCTGCATTATGGTTACAAAATGACCATGTCCTATTCCAAAATGCAGAGGAAGTTACACACCTGGTTTATTTGTCATAACCTCCTCCCTTGTAATTGGCACATCTGTACTAAGTGCTCAGTAAATACTACTTTCCTCTCTCCAATATATTTCAGAATTGCTACTTGCCAATTAAACATCACTGTTTTCTCTGCTCCCCGAATGAAAGATGGCCAGCTGCTTTATGCTCCTGTTGCCATCACAGACCATACTATGAAATTGTTAGCTAATCCAAACTCTTCTGTCCCTGTTGGCTTTGATTGGTATTTTGTTTATCACATCAACATGTAACTAATGCTTCTGTTTCAAGGAATAAATAGAGAAACTTGCTTTAAAAAATGCTTTTTATCACTATTCCACCTTGCGCCAAGTGTTTTCTTGGTTCATAGTATCTCACTTTGCAGTGTCATCTTTCCCAGTACTATAGTCATCTCAGAATATATCAAGATTGTTAAGTATCAGCTTATAGTACATCCTAAGCTTCAGCTTATGATATCATAAGAATATCTACTTAAAACAGTGCTCAATGAAGCCAAGCCTGCCATTCCTCAGTTGATATATACACTTTACCATTCTGTTTTCTATTTACCTCTTGCTAGTTTTTCTAACATATGGCATATATGCATCTAGGCATAACACTTTGGAGTTTTGATTGAAGCAATTAACCTATTCCTCTAAACAGATAATTATCTTGTAACTAATAGTAAGAGCTACTTGAGTCCCCATGAGAAGAAGACACCAAACACTGTCACCACAAATATTATTTGATTTTATTCATAAAATAAGCATTCTAAGGAATATCAATTTCTCTACTAAATATGATATTGCATCTAGAAAAGAGGTTCTCAAACTTTCTAAGTTGCAATCCTTTAATGCAACTTGTTCCTCATATTGTGTAGACATTTACAGAACTGTAATTCATAACTCATTTGCTACTGTTATGAATCACCATGTAAATATCTTATATGAAAAACATCTGATACATGATCCCTAAGAGGGTCACAACCAACACGTTGACAACTTCTGGTCTAGGATTAGAAGATTCATGTGGTAGAATTCAAGGTCAGCCAACTTTCTTCTTTGCTCATACCCTATGCTTTCATCACTTTGCCAGTTCTTGTAAGCAGAAATATAGTGTAATGAAAAAGTTGTAAAATTTCAAATGGAAGTATAACCATATGCCAGTTTAAGAAAGAAGAAAGGAAATAAAGAAAGAGAAAGAGGGAGGAAGGAAGATATATATATATATCTATATATATATCTAGATAGATAGATAGATAGATAGATAGATAGATAGATAGATAGACCAGTCTCAACTTTGGGACCATTGATAGCAATTTCAGAAGCAAATTTAGACAGATGACACTGACCTGAGGAGATGTCGATTTGGCTTGTCTTGGTCTGTGTGGTGTTTATGTGGACGCTCACTTTGCTCTCCACAAGGTCAATCTCCACATTGCCCAAGTTTTCTGCAAAGTGACTGAAGAGCAAGAGACCACTGGGGTTCCAAGTCCTAAACTGGAAACTGACTGAGAGCAGGTCCTGATTGAGCCTGCCAGGTACCTCCAGGTAACTTGTCGCATTGAAGAAGACTGGAACTGTATAGGGCTCCACACAAGAGAAACTCAGATTCCCCTGCAAGCAAACAAACATCTGTGTGAGGCTATTGACAAAGAACTGGTTCTACAAATTTCAAAGCAGTTTTTAAACCTGTACTAAACTTAAGGGCTAGCATCTCAGCCTGATTCAGTGCATGCATGGATTTTCCATGGAACTTCTTGAAGTGTTAGACCCAGTAAATGCAGTAATTGGACTTCTAGTTCTGAGTGTAGCAAGCAACACCAATCAAAAGACTGACAGTTTACCTGCCTGCTGTGATGGGGAGACCACATTATGACTTTCTTTCATCTTTTTAAGGAACTGTCTTCTTTCATATGCTTAGGAATTGGGGGATAGTATTACTTCTGTCTATCTATAATATATATATATATATATATGTATATGTATATGTATATGTATATGTATATGCATATGTATGTGATGTATATGTATATGTATACACATACAATGTATAGTATATAATGCATATATGCATTGTATACATATGTACATCATATACCTAGACCTATACATATACATCTTCCCAATGCCTAACTATTCCATTGCAACACATTAACTATTAAATCTGAAACAAATTGTCTTCTTATGGTAATATTTAACTTCACTTTATTCTGTTACTTTGCAGTTTATTTTTTAAATGATATTTGTTTTCCATGGACAAGAACTGCCTATGCAGAACAACTGAGGTGTTAAAATTGACCACTTAACTGTTGTATAGTGTTGTAGGGTTGTGTCCCAGACAATTACAGAGCATTTCTGGGTAAGCGTGCTGACTGGTGAGCTAGTGCAGTAGGAGGATATGGCTGTGCGAAGACAGGAAGTCTTCAGGGGCTGACTGAATTTCACAGAAATAACAGCTACTAATATCTTTGTGCAAATTTCTTATAAAATGTTTTCTTTGAATGGATGTTTACAAATGTTCTATTTCACGATTTTTCCTAGTGTTTTCTTTTTCTGTGTAGATTCTACTACAAAAAAAATTCTGTAATTACCTACAAATAATTTGTTAAAAATAGAATATACTTGTAGATGCCATATATTTACATATATGCATAAATATGCATACATATTTATGCATATATATACTGCTATTCAGTCTTCTCTAGTTTCAACATTCATTGTAGTTATAGTTGCCTTGGTAATGAGCTTCCATGGTTGGTACACTGTAGTTTGAGTACCAAATGGATACATCTCAAAATCAACACTAAGATTTAGTTAGAAATAATACTTTACTTATTAAAATTGCAAATATTAGAAATGATATTCTTATTATTTCAATTTATATCTTTTTTCTGAAATTTCAATTTCTGAGAACAGTGAAAAGACCATTGTGCCATTTTACTCAATGCTTAAAATACTTAAAAGTGTGTGTGTGTGTGTGTGTGTGTGTGTGTATACATATAACATATGGACTGTGTGTGTTAGTGGGAATAGTATGTGGGATATATGTTTGTGTGTTTGTATGTGATCATACACTGTGGCATATGTGCTTATACTACATAGTCCATGTACATAATGTATGAAGTGTTTGTGCTTGCACGTATGTTTAATTGCTCTGTTAGTTAACGTGTTTGTATGTATAAATTATGTGTTTTTCACTATGTATTATTGTATGTGCCATGTGTGTGTTTATTTGTACATGTGTATAATGCATAGTGAATATGTGTGTTTGTGTGTGTGTTCCTATGTGGTAGGTATTTGTGTGTATTAAATTGTGTACAATGGTCAGCATTTATGGATTGTATGTGGTATATGTATAGTGCGGTTTGAATAATTGCTTCCACAGACTCATATATTTGAATATTTTTTCAATGATAATGTGACTGTTTGAAATGATTATGGTAGGTGTGGCCTTATCGGAAGGAGGAATTGTGTCACTGAGGTTGGGCTTAGATGTCTCAAAAAGCCCTGCCAGGCTCTCTCCTCTCTCTCTCTCTCTCTCTCTCTCTCTCTCTCTCTCTCTCTCTCCCTCTCTCTCTCTCTCTTTCCTGGCTTTAGATCAGAATGTAATTATCAATTATTGGTCCAGAACCATGCTCCTCCTATGCTTTTCATCATGATGATAATAGACCAACACTGAAACTTTAAATAAGCCCCCAATTAAACACTTTCTGTTAAGAGTTGCCTTGGTCAAGGTCTCTTCACAGCAATAGACCAGTAACCAAGACAGTAGGTTTATGTGTGTGCATAGTATGTGGAACGTGTGGTGGCTTGTATAGTATGTGGTGGGTGTTAGTGTGTGTATTTGCTGGTACAGAATATGCAAAATATGGATATGTGTTTGTGTTTAGTGTAGGGGATGTGTGTAGGACTGCATGTGTGAATGTGGAAACAATATGAGAAATAATACAGATTTATGAAAGAAGCCACGGCATTCATGTGGTCATCTATATAGAGACTAAAATCTAGACTTGTCACTTAGAATCACCTTGGAAAGTTGTTATTCCAGGTTAAGCCTTGATATTTATAATTTACAAAGTGTTCATGTTTTCTTTTTTTAAAATTTATTTACATTCTAGATGTTGCCATACCTCCCAATATGCCCTGCCACAGTTTCTCATCTTATTCCTCTTCCCTCTTGTTCCCCAGAGGGTACTCCCCGCCACCAAGCATTCCCCTTCCCTGTGGCCTCAAGTCTCTAGAAGATTAGGCACATCTTCTCCAACTGAGGCCAGACTAGGCAGTTCTCTGCTACATATGCGTCCATGGCCTTGGACCAGCCCATGTATGCTGCCTGGTGGTTGGCCCATTCGTGGGGAGCTCCCTGGGGTATGGGTTGGTTGAGACTACTGGTCTTCCTATGAGGTTACTCTCTCTTTCAGCTTCTTCAATCCTTCCCCTAATTCAACTGCAGGGTCCATGACTCCAATCCAATGGTTGGGTGTAAGTAACTGTGTCTGTCTCAGTCAGTTGTTGGTAGGGCCTTTGAGAGGACAGCCATATTACATTTGTGTCTGTGTCCCTGGGTACTGCAGACTTCCTGGGAGACAGGCAGGTTGTGGGGTTTGGGAGGGTATCATGCCAGCTGAGCTGGCCCCTGTGGAGAATCAAATGTGAAGTTCATATTTTCTTATGGTATAATCTCACATTGCAGTGGATATTGGTGCACACCTTATCACAGTGTTGCTTTACAATAAAGCTATCTTTCTCTAATTCTATACTATATTACTTAAAGTGAGCCAAAATTCAGTTTTTTTTTTTTTGTTAGTGCCAATTCCTCATTATGTTTAAGGGAAATTTTCATCACAGAATCATTTCCTTTACACTAGCTTTACAATGTTTTCACTTACTGTTGTCTACTCACTGAGATGGGGCTTTTCATTTATCCAGATATTCTTTTGATTTTTGTCATTTTCAAAGATGAGCTCAAATTCGGGAAAACAGGATCATCATAGCGCTTTTAGAGGCAGTGTGCAAAGTTAAAGGATTATCTCATTTGGTGGCTTTCAAAAGTATAGTCCTTTATAATCTCAGGCACTCATGCCCATATGGCAGTGGTTGATGAGATAGTTCCTGGCCAGGCAGAGCCATAGAGAAGCCCTGTGATAAACATTTGTTAGTATCTTTAGGCTAACTAGCAGGACATAGGAGGTAGAACGCTGAAACATCCTCATTATTTGGTCTTTTCCAAAAAATTTGAAACCAGTCTCCACTCAGAAGAAACTCTGTGTGAGTTTTGTGGCTCTCTTTCATTTTCCCCCAGAAAACATTTTTTTTTATTTAAGCCAGTATTCAATTATTACTAAGATATTTTTTGTATATAACTTTAATGTTCTTCATTGACAGTTCCATATATGTATATAATTATTTATGGTTACTCTCCTTATCCTCTCAAAACTCAGTGTACCACTGTCATCCTGTCTTCCTTCTTATAAGTCTTAAGTGTACAGTTTAAAATCACTGGATACACAAGCTGGCTTGACTCTCAATCTGAATTTTGAGTATGTCAAGTATCTCCACATTGCTGGGCAACATCTGCCTTTTATTATTAAACTGAACCAAAATAGTGTGGAAAGGACTGTTTGTTTGTTGTTATTCAATGCCCCTGGATCAATATTTTGGACTCTTACCACATTTGATGGCTCTAATTTCTTTCTTCGGGCAAGATCAGTAATATTGACACCATTGTAGTTGATGCTTTCCATACAGCCCTTAAAGTTCTTCCTATTACTGGAACTTGGCTTGCCAGAGAAAGGTATGCCTCCAAATGTTATCTTTAAGAAAAATAATAATTATAAATATTTACATTTTCTTACGGTAAATGGTACAGAATTATAAATACAACTAATGTCAGACACCTTTATTTCAGTAGAAGTTATGCAAACCTTATGTTGCCTACAAAATCTTTTGCTCAGTACGTTATGCTGTTGCTGAAATGCATAATGAAATCATTAATTCCAATAATTATACCATAACTTTACCAATAAAATAGCAAATGTCACTTGCATTTTTTTTAAAAACCGAAGGCATTTTATAAATAGTCTTGAGAGGATTTTAGAAAGATTTTATCTAGGAACTTTATTTTATCAAGGAATATTAAAACTGTATTTTCATATTTATCATTCAAAGACATGTTACCAATAAATGCCTCTAGTAATCTCAAGACAACCAGAACTAATATAATAAGCTGATAAAAGTGTAGCCTAAAGCAAGGAATACTATACTTACTCTCTGGAGGTTTTATGAAGTCGAATGACTCTTCAAGTCAAAGGTTCATTAAAATTATTTTGAGTATAGAAAATAGCTGAAAAATACCATTAGTGTATGGCTTAGGGACTTTGTGAGACATGGGGGCTGTACGTTGAACAGTCAAGGTTTGTACATTTTATAGATCTTACAGACCTTAAGGACTAAGGCCAATCTTCCTAAACGTGCTCCATTGAGTATAACTGCTTCTAGGGGATATGGTTTTTCTCTATGTTTTTCTCATCAGTTTTGAATTATGTAGCCTCAATACAGATGACACAAAATTATCCTTTATCAGCAATGGTAGGAATATTCACTAGTAATAGTGCATTAATGATAAAATGAATATTTGTAGAAATCATGTCAATTTCTATGGAGTTGAATTTTTCCAGTACTATCATTTTCAATTTTTCCCTTACAGTTTTTAATATAAAAGTAATTGTTGAGACATTATTGAAAGAGAAGACTTTATATTTGGTATAAGGCATGGACATGCTCCATTCCAGGAGGTACATGAGTAAATTATGTTTCATTATTTGGTGCTCTGGCATTTAAAATGCTTAATTAGTTTTAGAGAAAAAGACAAATTAATGATGGTTCATGACACAATGTTTTTAAAAAGGCCCCATTTAAAATAAAGTTAACTATTATAAATCACTTTCAGCTGAATATACACCTCATGCAATGATTCATACATGAGAGGAGAATTTAAGAATAAATTAAAACACATAGAAATTAAATAGGAATCTACAAATTGAAAATCTAGAGTAGTTGAAAATAGTAGAAATATTATGAGAAAGTTACAGTGACCTAGTCTATCCAGGTTTTATGAAGTTGATCCTGATACTGATGACAGTGACTATAATATTAAAATGAAATGCTGGATAGCTGTGTACAGTTCCTTTTGTTCATTACTCTTATGAGATCCATAGTAATACAATTTATATTTTCTTCTTTTTAAACTTTATTCATAGTATTATATTAGTATTAGTATTAGTATTAGTATTAGTGTGTGTGTGTGTGTGTGTGTGTGTATGTGTGTGTGTGTTCATATGGACATGCTGTGACACACGTGTAGGGGTTAGAAGACAAATTATGGAATAGATTCTATCCTTCCATCATGTGGGTACCAGGGTTGGAATTCTGTTACTCAGGCTTGTCAGCAAGTATTTTTACTTGCCAAACCTTGTCATTGACTCCTGTGTTTGGAGCTGGAAGCACTACATTTCAAATGTGTTGCTATACTTGCTTCATGTTACAGATTTGTTCCTCCGTGCACATGATTTCTTTAATCAAGGGCTTTGTTTTACCATCATGATGCTGATTCATATGCACTATAAATTTCTTCTCCTTTCAGTAACCAGGGAACATGCTCAATTCTGGGAAGCATGGTCATAAAGCATTGAAGACTAGAGTCAGAGGATGCTTAGCAGGGAAATGAGTTCTAATCCAGTTTTCTATGGAATCAATCAAATATTAGTTTGTCATTTACTTTTTCTAGCCATATATTGGTATTCAGATGAAGTTGTGTGATCATAACATTGTAAAATATTCTAAAATTATGGTGATAAAACACTTTTGCAGTAGTTAGATTAAAAATTATTAGTAGTAGTTAGTGGAAGTTTCTTTCCGTAGTCTTAGTAAAATTACCACCACTTTTAACTCTTATTTATTAACTGTTTAATTGGGTACAAGGCATTTGTGAAGTATAGCAGGTGCTAGTAGACACTGCTACTGTACTTGTTCTACACCCTTTAAAAAATGGGGTACTAATTTTCTCTAGGTAACTGAATCTTATCCAAGTCAGCATACATTGCATTTACCAATCTCGCTAGGAGTTGTTTGAGTGTATGTCACCCTAAGATCATAAAATAGGAAAAAAAGAGCCTTTAAACGCATCTTCCTTCGTGCTGATCATAATGAAGATGGGACTATAAAATGTCCTTCTTGATGTAATTTACCACAGGTATGAAAATAATGCAAGAGAAAAGGAGACTGCAGTGGAATCACGTTTGAAACTAGAGCTAAATGAAAACAAGGTTGGATATTTTCATGTGAAAGAGATAAAAATGCATCTGTTTGGAAGGATATAAAATCTATTATTATCTATCTATCTATATATTTATCTTCATAATTTCTATATATGATACATACATATGTATACACACACACACACACACACACACACACATATATATATATATATGTATGTATATGTGTGTGTGTTGTTTCATCATACAATCTCAAAAGAAATATGATCTTATTTTCTTATTATATTAAGTGGATATGAATTACTCATGTTACCCAAATCATGAAGATCAAAAAGGGATTTGAACCCAGGCTTTCAGTTCTTCTGAAGGATAAAGGTTTAACACTCTCTATGTCTACAGTCCATTTAAAGACCATAAATAAATAAATACTGCTAGGGAGAGTCACTCTCTGATTCTCAAACAGAGCTGTGGTGCAAAAGACCATGGTTTATCAAGCAAAGTGCTGTAAGGGGCATTTAACTAAAAATAGAATCAAGGCAAACAGCAGATTACTGTCCTGTCCTTCAGTTTCCTTGTCTTGGAGAAAATCAAAATATGTATTTCTTCCATCTCAGGCTACCATACATTTAGAAGTTTGACTCTGATAGAGATCTCTATATTTCATGACATAACATCACTACACAGAAGAGGAGACACGGAAAATTTTGGGGCTACTTTTATACACAATAGTAATGTCAACATTGAGCCATGTCAAAGGTGCAAAGCTATATATCACATCTCTTTTGCTGATATGCATTGCTGAGAATGGTAACACATGTATTCATCTACCCCTACAATGTTCTGGTGGATCCTGCTTGTACTAGTTGGTTCATTAGGACTTACGTTAAATAGAACTGTTATTGAAACACAGGTAAGTGAGCACCTGAATTAAACTGCATAAACAGAATATTAATATCTACTCTGAAGTAATCTCAACACTTATTATATGTTCTTCAGATTATTTACATACCACCCATCTAACACAAGTACTCTGTTTTGTAATGGTGTGACAGTGGGCATTTATTTTTAGAAGCCACACACTTAAAATCCAATTGATAGCATGAAATTCCCATCATGAGGTATTTACACTATGAGAGTTAAAGAATCAAACCAGTGAAGTCCCCATTTTCCACTCTAGTAAGAGCTTCTTAAGGCATCCTGTAATAAGCCTCAAAATCTTTTGCTGCAGACCACTTTGCAAGAATGCAAGTCAAGGAGTTTAAGGGGAAAGGACATGGTTTCTGTGAATATGAGAGGACTATCTCCTTTATTCTTTGAGGTTTAAAGACTCCAATATGACTTGCACAAAACGTAAATTATGTTAGATTTGAAGTTAATATTACCAGTCAGTGTAATAGGAGTCTACTTATTATGTTCTTACATCAAGGACAAGTTCAAGGAAGTATGGACAACTATTTTGATACTAACTATTAAATATAGCTCAGATTTATTTAAAGAACACAAAAGAGACTATAATTGCTATGTAGTATACAATACAAATCTAAACACAACTGTCTTTGCTATGATACCCATGGTAATAACTGTTGTTCCCAAGATGAGAGTTACCGGGTACTAACTTATCAACTAGCTCATTATTTTCAGTGCATTTATATTTTGTCATACTATGTTTTCTGATAGATCTGTCACACTCATTCAGGTCAATAGCTAAAACTCCCAAACATAGAACTGTGTTGAGTACAGAAGGTTTTGACACACTGTAAAATTCTAGATCCACTGTGCTCATGTGGAATGTGTTGTGTGTGCATGAATATGCACAGATTTCATCACAAACTCTATAGGGACACTGACCTCAAATCTTTAATTACAGTTTTTGAAAATTGGAATTATGTTTGCCCATGGCTAATGCTTCAGAATGCACCCCCATTCTGTGATACTTCAAAGTTTATTAATATAAGATGAATAATTCATTTGCAAGTTCTCCCATACACTAGAGCAATAAGTCACAAGAGATGTGGTAGAAAACTTGCCGGAGATAAAATTTCTTAGACTTTCACATTTTTAAACTTTAAAAAGAATTATTTTAGTTTTGAGATGATAATATAATTACATCAATTCTCCCTTCTCTTTCCTCCCTCCAAACCCTCTTATGTATTCCACTTGATCTCTTTCAAATTCATGGCTTCTTTTAATAATCATTTGGGGATGAATATTTTTGGAGACAGTAATTTAGCCTTAAGCTTATATTTTTATGTTAAGTCTCCATTGACTTATAAAAATATATACTATAGCTATCAATTCAGACTTTTTACCAATAATTTTATGGTGTACATATTCTACATTTATAATCTTTACATATATTTGTTGAATAAAATACACACACACACACACACACACACACACACACACTGCTCATGGATTTCTTCTTTCTAAAATGTAGATGCCAAGGAATACAATTGAAACAATTTTAGAGGGTATCCTAATATACATAAAATCTTCAAAGAAATCATAATACTTGGTATATCTTGGACACTATCTGAAACACTACTCGTGGAGTTTGACAATTTAATATTAAGTCTTGCCCTGTTCAGACTCATGAATTTCTGTTATGTTGAGGCTGGAAATAAAATGTACAACACAACAAATGATGAGAAAAAAGTAACAGTATCAAATCAGACTCTGAATGTGAAAGAATATTAAAGTACTTTAATTTTGTCCCTTACCACCCTAGTATTTAATAATAGGGTATTTTTATCTATACATTCAAATAGCTATCAATATTTTAGGACATATATTTTCAGTTATTTGAGAAACTAGCTTTGGAATGCTTTGGAAAATTATTATATCATTACTAGTTCCATGCACTAAGAAAGTATGGAGCCTGGAATTGAGTAAGATGTCTTGGTTTGTATTTTGGTCAGATGCTGTTCTGAATATATAGTGTTTTCTTATACCAATTACACATACAATGTTTTACCCCGATATATTATTAACAGATGTGATGGAATAAATTGAATTACTCTGATAATGTATTTATTTATGTGGGAGAGTATTTGTATGCTCTATTAGGTTTGGGCGGGTAAGAGTACAACTTGTAAGTATATATATTTTTATTCCACTATGTAGACTTCCAGAATTGAATTTAGGGTTCTCACTGAGCTAAAATATTAAAAAAAAAATACTTCATCATATAGAAATTAAAATGTATGATATCCCATGTATCATTTTATTTTTTATGACAACTATGTCTGAAAAATCAAGAGTTTTCTTAAATTCTAATCTATAATTATTAATTTATAAATAATGATATAAATTAAAGTGAAGCTTTTTTTCAGTATACTACAAAAATGAATAAACCTTCCATGCACAGCATACTGTACAGTCTCATGAGTAATAGAGGCCTTAAGTTATATCCTGCTGTGAAGGTTGGGAGTAGGGATCTATGTATAAAGGCTGGATTCTTAGGGTGTTAGAATAGGAAGGAGCTGTGGACTTTTAATAGCTGGAGGTGAGGGTGCAGTACATAACTATGTCTTAGCATACTTGTAAAGAGACTGCAGAACAGTCTAGAGGGGATGGATAACAGCAGGGAAACAGGGTCTTCTAAATACAACAGGATCAATGCACATGTGAAATCATTGACACTGGGGCAGTGTGCACAGAGTCTGCATAGGTCTGCACCAAATATGGCCCTAGCTATGAAAAGACACATGCGGACACATGTTGCCATTCGTAATCCAAAAACCTTTTGCAGTTAATGGCCTCTTGTAAAAGAAAATTTAGTTTTTTCTAAATGAGTCTTACTGTGGAAACAAACTACATTTAAGGGTCCACTCCGTACCCAGCAGTATATGTCCAACTTAAAATGAACTAAACATTATCTTTAGAGGTTCCCTTTCTCATAATGTCATATCAAGGATATCTTTCATTTTTTAAATTTTATTTTTGATTTGTTATATTTGTTCATATATGCATTTCTGTCTCCTTGTACTCTATGGGTTCTTTGTTGCATATGAGTTTCAGTTTTCTGTGCAAGTGAGTGGGTCACTGCATCTATATCTGTTTCTAGCCCCTTTTTTGGCTCCTTTACTCCTGTTTGTCTTGTCCTATACTATTGTGTCAGTTTTTGCTTTGTTTTATTTCATTATTATTCCTTAGAAGACTGTTTGCTTTCCAATGAAAAGAAAAAAGGGGGCAGAAGGACACAGAGAGGAACTGGAAAGAGCAGACGATGGGGAAACCATAATCAAAATATACTGTGTGAGAAAGGAAGCCATTTTCAATAAAAGGAAAAGACTAACAATTAAAGATATACGTATAATATCTAGTGCAATTACATATAAAATTTGATAAATGAATTAGATTTAACGATAGTTTCTTTCTATGAGGAGGGCAGAAAAAGGGGTGTGAGCAGTTATGTAAGTAACAGCAAAGCAACAGTAAAGTAGGAATTCCGTTCTCCCTCCTGATCCTAACTCCTCACGTGTACCTCATAGTCCAAGTCCAGGTAGTCAAACTCTCCATTGGTGCGGAAATGCTGCATGCTCCTGTCCAGGGTCAGGTTAATGCTGCGTCCCTGGCGCTCAATGAGTACAGAGTGCCAGTGGTGATCGTCCAGCAGGCTCCCAGATGTCACAGATGTGTGCCCATAGATGGGGCCTAGCTGGTTGCTTCCTGAGTAGTGGGAACAAAACAGAAATAAGATGTTGACTACACAGGCCACTGTGCATGGCAGCAGATCTTCTTCTATATATAAGTGTATATAAAAGTGAAGAGTTGTCTATCGAAGCTAGTGTAGGACCATCAGGATTTTTACCCTGGGTACAAATATAAGCTGTTAACAGTGACGAGAAGCTGTTCTCTTAAAACGCAAATGCAAATGTTTTTGGACAGTGTTGTAAATTTTATTAAGTTTTGGTGGGTGTGCGGGTGGCAATCAGGTCATTGTCACATGGGCTCAGTTGCCTGAAGGCCTGAGATCTGACAGTGTCACCATTAGTTTGCTGCTTAGATGGGGAAAAATTGGTAACTGCTCTGAGTCTGGCTATTGACATGTGGAAAATAATTCTTGTTTCCTCATGCATGGTGACAAAATCAAAAATGTCTGAGTGATAATGAAGTGTGTGTGTATGTGCATTCACATGTATGTGTATGTAGTTATGTATGTGTGTGCGTGCATGTGTAGGCATGCATGAATGGTTATATGTGTGTTTTCATGTGTGCATGTGTTTGTGTAATTACATGTATGTTTCTGTATGTATGTGTGTGTACCTGCATGTGTGAATTCATGCATGAATGTGCTCATCTATATTGTGAGAGACCAGAATGACAAGAGAAGAAATAAAAGAGAAGTCTGAGTTTTATTGTTTGAAACACATACACACACACGCACAGTCTGAGTAGCAGGGCAGTCATCTGCTAATTACAGATGGCACTAAAGAGTATAGTAGGTACTTGAGTAGATATATTTCTACTGCTGTCATAAATTTCAGTCCACCAATAAAACTCTGGAAGTGAAATACTTTTCAGTGAAATGGTAATGAACTCTTTTTTTGTGAGATCTTAGAATAAGTGACGTGTTCTACAAATATAATGTCACATCTCTATAAGCCACAGTCGACTTTCAAAGGTTACTCTACATGTTTTATTAGAGAAAAGTAAAATGAAAACAGCTTTGAAAAAAATAAATATCTTGGGTTGGAAATATAGCTTAGTGGATAAAGTGGATACTTGCTGTCCTGCTGATATACTTAGTTGGATTCCCAGAACGCATGTTGTACTAGAAAAAATTAGTCTCCTGCAGGCTGTCTGTCCTCTGACCTTCACACATAAACACACTGTGACATGCATATGCTCCTCTACATGTATTCATACAAAATAAATTTAATAAAATAAAAATTTAAGAAAATATCATCTTTGGACACTAGGTATCTATTTACACACAAATTCACATAGACAGCTGTTTTATAAATTCTTTTATTTGGGTTCTGATTCCAATTCTAAGAATTTCCCTTCCATTCTACAGGGTCATGTACTAAATATAGTTTCTTGCCCTCCCCTGAGTCTCAAAACAAATGCCTGTTTATGATTACAGCTGAAGAATATCATGGAGAATAAATAAGTAAAATGAAATGCAAATTATTTCCTCCACTAAAAATAATTTAACCTATTTTCATCCAGATATTTTCCATATGCAAGTATTTAATTATGTATATATGCTATATACATATTCAGGTATATATATTTAATGTGAAACCTTTCATGTAATAGTTAATATTCTTGAGGAGGCTGAATATTCTATTTGCTTCTTACTGGGCTACAATATAGTTGCTTCACTGGATAAAAGAGCAGGCTATTTGCAGCTCTTTCTAAAATCAAGGTAACATTATCCCTCACCTGACTCTGAACAATACACACCTTCCTGTACTTCTAATCTTTTCCAATGAGAAGATTGTTTAGTCTTTTGACCAACATCTAGATACGGATATACATGAGTTGGAGAACTACATAGAGCAATATTTCTCAACCTCCCCAATGCTGCTACCATTTCCTAGAGTTCCTCATGTTGTCTTTACTCCCAATAAGATTATCTTGTTGTTACTTTATAACTGTAATTTTGCTATTGTTATGATTTATAATGTAAATATCTGTGTTTACTGACAATTTTAAGTGACCCCCTATAAAAGGGTCATTGAACACCCAAAGGGATCTGGACCCTCAGCTTGAGAACTGCTGATATCGAGATTTAAAATAACATAGTATCCCGAGATGTACAATAGTTATTGCCACTTTTACCGTAGTTAGTCTCATGGACTTTGACTACCAGCATTTAGGCCCTATTTAACGTCTCCTCTAAGACATTGTAAAATAGACATGCATTATGTTCATCTGCCATCACTAGGATGGTAGGGAAATTTTCTTCCAATAGCAGTGTTGAGAAAAGTTTCTTTTTCATTGGTGTTTCTGAATGCTATTTCAAATCTTCTATCTATGCTGGAGGAATTACTTCACTTTGATTTATTCGAGGGTTTGGTGTTCATTCTTCACTGGATTTTATGCATTTCTCATATGCTTCTCTCCAGTGCTGAAGGATAACTCAATGGTCATCTTGATCAGACATCTCTCCTTATATAAGGACTCACTTAGTGACACATTGATCAGTCTCCTGACAGGGAGCTAAGTTCACTGGAAGACTTCATTTACCACAGCACCAAAGTCACTTGCCTTTTCAATTTGTCCCAACATCAAATAGACTACAGTAAACATGTCCCAAAACTTTTTATTTGTTTGTTTGTTTTACAAAACTGCTAGTCCCCCTCCCGCACTGTCCTAGATCAGTTCTCTAGCATTTTCTATTTATGTTTCTCTGTTCACATAGATCTGGCAATACAGCATACTTCTGGTGGTCATGCTCATCTTCCAGTGTTATGACAGGCAGAGCTCAGTGGTCACTAGGATGGTAAGGCCATGAGTTCTGGCTCCTCATCACTCAAAGTGGCATGATGGCTAGTTATATTTTATATACTCTAAATATGTTTTAATAACATACATTTAATGAACATGATCAGGTATTGGGAATGTAGAACAAGAATGAAGCCCAGAGGGACAGCAGAAAGAATGAAAACAGGCAACCTTGGAAGGTAGGAGGTGAGGGGACCTTATAGAATGTACCAGAGACTTGGAGGTGAGAGAAATTCTGGACTCAGAAGGAAGGACTTTAGATAAAATGCCCAACAGTGGGGGTGGGAACTTGTAGAGCCCACCTCCAAAAGAAAGACAATGCATAAATAAAGTGGAAGGATAGAGTTGCCATCTCACAGTAAAAAACTCTGACTCAGAATTGTCCCTGTCTAAAAGAACTTCAGGAACGAAAATGGAGAAGAGGCTGAGGGAAAGGAGGTCCAGTGACCAGTCCAACTTGGGATTTACTCAAGAGTAGGCTTTAAGGCCTGACATTATTAATGATACTATGGTGTGCTTACAGACAGGAGCCTAGCATTGCTGCCATCTGAGAGGCCCAACAAGCTACCGAAAGTGTCAGATGCAGGTTCTTAAATCCAACCAATGGATAGAAGCTAGGGACCCATGTGGTTGAATTACAGAAAGGCTGGAAGAAGCTGAGGAGGAGGGTGACCCCATAGGAAGACCAGCAGTCTCAACTAACCTGGACCCCTGAGATCTCTCAGCCACTAAGCCACCAACTAGGCAGCATTCACTAGCTGATATGAGGCCCCCAACACATATACAGCAGAGGAGTGCCTGGTCTGGCCTCAGTGAGAGAAGATACACCTAACCCTCGAGAGACTTGAGGCTGTTGGGATGGGAGTGGGGATGGGGACATCCACTTGGAGATGGGGAGAAGGAAAGGGATAAGGAATTGTCAGAGGTTGGACCTTGAGAGGGATATTGACTGGACTGTAAATATAGATTAAAGAATAAGAATAATAAAAAAATATATAAACTATTTCAAATATCTGAAGCTATGTTTTAAGATAATTTTACCCTAAATATCTTTATTAGCAGAATAGTAAAAATGATCACTTGTCACTTACACATAAACCTTGAAAAGACACACTTACTAATTTTACAAAAGATATTATTTTCCATTTTATTGTTTGTTATTCATATAACTGATGTGATAGATTATTTTGTTCCTTTAGTATTTAATTTTTCTATTCTGTGTTGTCTTTTATATCTAATGTATACATTTTCATTTTGCAACATGAAACTATTATAGAGTGGTGTGATTCATTTTTCAAGAATAACATTCATATTGCACGTATAACATTTACATTTTCCTCAGCTTTACATTCACTTTATTTTAATGTGAAAAACAGTGTTTTTGTATAAGTATGTGATTCACATTTTCACTATTTTGTCTTTTGAGTGTGGATGTTATATAGTCAAAGGTATATTTTTATGGCAGTGTTTAATTGCATACAAATTTTCTAATTAAATTTAAGTTTTTAGATTTAACAAATAAGTTAACACTGAGGACTCAAAATATTTTCAGGATTGCCCCAAGCCTCAAAGTAATCTAGGACAGTGAAGCCCAATTGCTAAGGTGTTTTTTGAGTGTTTCAATCTTCAATTTTTTGTCTTTCTCTGGTGATGCATTTCACAAGTGTGTTTTAGTTATTGCCTTGTGCGATCTAGAATTCTGCTTCCATTGCTGAGTATGTTTTCTTTAGCAATTATTGACTCTTAGATACGTTTAGTAGTTTAGTTAAGTTCAAGTATTTATTACCACATATTTTACTCTTCACTTATAAGATGTGTCAGTAAGAATATTCTCTTAATTCCGCATATAAACACCCTTTGTTTACGTAATAATCAGGGCAAATGTTGTCTTGCTATTAATCTCTGTAGTTCCTTCTGCTCTCTTTTTATTTTATTTTTTATTGGATATTTTCTTTATTTACATTTCATATGTTATCACCTTTCCCATTACCCCCCGAAACCCCTATACCATACCCCATACCCTGTTCTATGAGGATGTTCCCCTACCTACACACCCACTCCTGCCTCCCCACCCACGAATTCCCCTACATTGGGTCATTGAGCCTTCACAGGACCAAGGGCCTTTCCACCACTGATGCCTGACAAGGCCATCCTCTGCTACATATGCGGCTGAAGCCATGATTTCCTCCATGTGTACTCCTTGGTTGGTGGTTTAGTCCCTGGGAGCTTTGGGAAGTCTGGTTGGTTGATACTATTGTTCTTCCTATGGGGTTGCAAATCCCTTCAGCTCCTTCAGTCCTTTCTCTAACTCCTCTATTGGGGACCCTATTGTAGACCCCGTACTCAGTCCAGTAGTTGGCTACAAGCATCCCTCCTATATTTGTCAGGCTCTGGTACAGTCTCTCAGGAGACAGCTATATCAGATTCCTATCAGCAAGCACTTCTTGGCATCTACAATAGTGTCTGAGCTTGGTGACTGTATATGGGATAGATCCCCAGGTGGGCCAGTCTCTGGATGGCCTTTTATTCAGTTACTGATCCACACTTTGTCTATGTATTTGATCCCATGAGTATTTTGTTCTACTTTCTAAGAGAGACCGAAGCACCCACACTTTGGCCTTCCTTCTTCTTGAGCTTCATGTAGTCTGTTGTTGGGAGCCGTGGCAGGTGCTGGCAAAGTCCGCCATCGCTAGGTGGCACTGTCAGCCATAATTCTTCCTAGTAAACAAGTAAATTGCGCATGTGCCATGGTAAAAGCCCGCCAAAGTTAAAGCCCATCCCACGGCGTTTGGCGCGCTACGAGTAAGCAGCCAATCAGAGGTGAATACACCGCTCTAGGGTTTATAAGCAGTGCCACCCCAGGTCTTCTTCGTCTTCTTCCACCATTTTGGTTTTTGGGAATAAA